GCTATAATGTAATTATCTTAATCTTCACTATCGTTACTTTTTGCCCAGCGAAGCGGGTCCTTGCAGCTAGATTCTAGATTACTTAGAAAAACAGTCTTTTATGTATATATATAAAACTATATTACATACAAATGTACGAACAAATAAAAACCCAGCGAAGCAAGTCCTTGAAGCTAGTTATAAATAAAATTAATTTAAAACCGCTGGGAGAAAAATTAATTAATAGTCAAATTCATACCCCATGGCTTCCAGTATTGCTTGGAAATTTTTTAAGAAAGATAAAAACGAGATGTTTTTCAAGCGCAATTTGTGCCAGGCATATCGAGAGGTGGAAAAAATGCTAAAATTTTTACCGTTACAAACATGATAAATCATCTCAAAAAATGTCGTCATGAAAAGTTTTTAAAAGAAACTGGATAGATGAAAAGAGAAAGTTCCGAAACCAAAGAAGCTGGATGTTCATCCGTAACAACGGAAACTCATCCAAAGACAAGATACTTTAAGTCAATTAATAGAGAAGAAAAAATTGTGGGATGTTAATGGTCAACGATCCAAAGTTCATTATTTGATTGGAGAAATGATAAGTGTAGATATACAGCCATACTCTGTTGTGCCTGATTTAGAATTTCAAAAGATTAATAAAAAAGATCGTTCAAATTACAATATTTGCGGCAGAAAATATCATCCCTCATATATTTCAAAAAGTTCAGGAAGCTATTGCTGATGCAAAATATATTTCTTTAACCTCTGATATTTGGACAGCGACTACAAACAATTCTCTTTTTTAAAGTGTAACAGCCACCACATTGAAGGATGATTTCCAGCAAGAGCTGTTTTGCGAATTGTCCCCTTCGAAGCTTCCCACACAGTTGCACGAATCAGTGAATAGATAAACATTCTTCTTGAACAGTATAAGCTGACAAGTGATAAGATATTCTTAGTACTGAGATATTCTGGAGAAAATATGGTAGCTGGAATCAGGAATTGCAACTTACAGGCATTATCATGCTTTGTACATACACTGCAGCTGACACTAAACGAATGCATATTTTCTCAACAAGATGTGAAAACTATAATCACAGTTAATAGAAATATTGTCACACATTTTAACCATTCTGCTGTAGCTGTAAGCAAATTAGAAGAATTGCGAGACAAGTTAGGTTTGCGGAAAGACAAATTAATTCAAGATGCTCCTACTCGCTGAATTCTACATACTACGTGTTGCAAAGAAACTCGAAACAGCAAAAAGCCCTTGTCACGTGCGCTATAGATAATAAAATTCCTACGTTGAGCCCATATCAGTGGTCTCTCGTTGAAAAAATTGTTCTACTTTTAAAACCGTTCGAAGAAATTACTGTGAAAACTAGCAAACGAGAAACCACCTTATCTTCATTAATTCCCACAATAGAGACCGAAATTATTCTTATCAAAAGCAAAGAGTAGTACTTTCTTTCTTTAGTGGCATTAACACCACAATAGAATAACTAGAAAATTAAATTATTTTAATTGAAATTTCTAGTTATTCTATTGTGTAATAAAGATTTTGAGCATATATAGAAAACAAGTCTTTATGGTTGTCGTCTTTATTAGATCCAAGATTCAAAATGAAATTTCGAAAAGAGGATATGGTAAAGGAAATAAAAAATGGATAATTGATAGCTCAGAAGATGTTGATAATTCAAAATCTCAAGAATAATTAAATTCTGACGTCCCTATTCTGGAGATGATCAAGATGGACGTTAATCTCTAAGTTTTTCTAATTTATTTGATGAATTAGCTTGTGGTAAACGAAAAAATGAAGAAGAGCATGTTTTTAAAAAAAGAAAAAACGAAACCAACGAACAAACGTCGATCAAGAATTAGAAAATATTTACACATACAAAGACATAGTCACCCTTTTCGTGGTGAAGTTCAAAGGAACTTTTTCTTAATTTGAGCAAAATAGCTATGAAATATCTAAGTGCACCAGCATCTTCCATTGAAAGAGAAAAAATTTTCAGCTCTGGAAGTAACATTTACGAGCCGGCAAGAAATAGGCTATGCCCCGAAAATGGTAAAATTCGCATGTTTTTGAATTACAATTTAAGGGTTTTTAAAGTTTGAATATTAAATTTTTATT